AGGATGAGGAGTGTGGCAGATGATGTCCCCAGCCTTGTTCCAGCCGTGGGGACATTCAGGGACACTGGCCCTGGCTCAGCTCTGTCTCTTGGTTCCCAGGTGAGGGTGACATCTCCTTCCCTCCCACCTATCGGTATGAACGGGGCTCCCGGGACAACTACATCTGGCAGAAGTTCAAGACCACAGGGGTGAGTTCCCAGACTCTCATGCTGATGCCAGGGCTCCAGAGGTCCAGCCCCATGCCGGGGGAATGGGGACAGCAGCTGGGGATGATGACAGGCAGGCTGCATGGCGAGCAGAGAGCCCGCTTCATGCTCAGCCCTCACACCTCTGCCAGCCCTTCCCCTCTGCCAAAGAAGGTTTGTCAGGAGGAAAATATCTTTTAGGGGTCCTCTATCCACTCCCTTGGTGGGGAACAAGAGAGAAAGCTTCTGCGGTGGGAAAAGCACTGGGTTGGTGGGAGAAAGCGGCCAGATCTGAGGACTGCGGAAGCAGCACCTACACTGACTGTATTTCCTGTTCCCAGATGAGGATCAACGTCCCCTCGTGGTGTGACCGTATCCTGTGGAAGTCGCACCCAGAGACCCATCTGGTCTGTAACTCGTATGGTGAGTGAAGTGCCCCAGAGCCCTGCTGAGGGTTTGGGGGCAGCTGAGCGTCAGCGGGGCTGCCGGTGGTGCTGGGGTTCAGTGGCCATCACCCAGCTCCCCCTTCTCGCATTTCAGGCTGCACCGATGACATCGTGACCAGCGACCACTCTCCGGTCTTTGCCACCTTTGAGGTGGGAGTGACATCGCAGTTTGTGCCCAAGAAGGGTAAGGGTGAGGGTGATGGTGAGGGTGACAGTGATGGTGAGGGTGAGGGTGGAGGTGAAGGTAAGGGTGAGGGAGCACTCTCTCTGGGAGGGTGATTGCCTTGGGAGCAATCAGGCCCAGGGACAGCTCGCAGCCCTGCTTCTTCCTGGCTTTGTCCGCAAACCTGCCGGGCCCTGGGGCAAGCCCTGAGCGTGGTGCTCGGCCAGCACGTGCTAAGCTCCTGGTGCCCGCCTGCAGCGCCCGGCTCCAGCCCTGAGTCCCTGGCCTGCATCGAGTGGGAGAGCATCGAGGTGATCGTGAAAACTGCCAGCCGCAGCAAGTGCTACATCGAGTTTCACTCCTACTGCCTGGAGGGTGAGCCAGCCCCCGGGGGCTGGGGGAGGACCTCGGGATGCAAGGGGCATCTGTGCACCCATGCACCGTGAGCACGGGCACGGTGCTCCCCCGCGGGCCAGGGCAGCGAGGGGTGCAGGGGTGGCTGCGCTCTGCCACTTGGCATCGGGGCAGCCGGGCACCCCGGGGCAATGAACAGAGGCACCGAGCTTGACGCTGGGTTAAGGATGGAGCCCAAGACAGGCTGGTGGGCAGCAGGGTCAGCAGCGGGAGGGAGCTGCCTCTCCTCATGCTATCTTGGCGGCAGAGCCCCAGCGGAGCGGGGGGAA